TATAAAATCAATTTGGATGGTTAAAAAGATTGAAGAGAATATTTCTCAAGTGATCCTAGCTACCAATTATTTCTCTACTCGTCAGATATTACTATTATTATTTTTAAATTTTTTATTTTTTAAATACTTTTCTAATCTAAATGAATCTGATTAGGTATCCACTAGATTGAATGAATTAGATTTGATCTAATCTGATCTGATTCTGATAAGAATAAATAATAAGTAACATAAATATGTTGAAGAGAATAGTACCGTTGTTTCAGACTGAATCAATATTATATCGAATAGAAAATGAGTTTACAAATAAGTTATATTCATTTACTGGTATAACACGAATTGATTCTAATCGTTTTGAAAAAAATTGTACAACATGGGTTCTCAAAAAATAAAATTAAAAATAACGAATCAAAACTTTACCACTAAATTGTTAAATCAAGAGACTACATGTACATTTTTCATTTGTTATTTTTGAGTAAGTTCAAAAATAAGCCCTAGCTTCTTGCTCGGAGCTTTGTCCACGCCCACGCCCTTCCCTAACCCATACCGGCTATGTCTCCATAATTAAATAAATATAAATCATATATTAATTAGATAAATAATATTTTAAAACTATTTGAAATAATAAATTTAATAAAATTATTTATGTATCAATATTTAATATCATTTTTTAAAAAATTTGAAATCAAAATTTTCCAGTTTTGATTGAAAAAAATTAAATGTAGACAAATACTGGAGAAAATATAGTGATATACAATGTTGGTTTTTTATTCAAACGCAAATTATATAATTGCATGGGAGAGAAAGAGAAGGAAAGTTGGAGCACGTATCAAAAATGTCAAAATTCTTCTCCATCAAGTCAAATCAAATTAGAACAAAATTTTAAAAATTTTAATCAGATTCAGATTAGGCATACGGAACAGAGCCAAAGTCAAGCAACAAAATTACAATACAAAGACTCTTCCCTTTGTATATGTTAGACATTAGAATTCTATTCCTAGTAGAAGTTGTAATAGCTAGATATCTTCCTAGAGGAATCCTACTCATATGAAGATCTCCACCTATATATATTCCCATGTATCTTCCTTTATTTCCTTGAGTAAAATCTATTGTTTCATAAAATTCAACCGTATATACTACGTATAAGAGTAAACAAATACGGAGTACTCAGGTATTAACGAAATAGTTACAATGTTGTTTTTTCAATTTAAACACAAATAAAAATAAGGCAAAGGAAAGTTGGAGAGAGAGAGAGACTTACAGATCGATCGCGGGGGTTTTCTTAGCGTCGTCGAACGGATCCGGCATAGCTGCGAAGGTTGCGGGTGATATTTTCGTTGCCGCCGACTTCCACGGCTTTGCTCACCGCCGATCAACCTACGCCTTGCCATAGAGGGGGAGTTTTGAAAAGGGGGAGTTTTGAAGCAGAAAGAATCTGTGGTGGCCTCATAATGTCCATATCATCCGGCAGCAGCTTGCAAGGTGAAGTTAATTGGTTCTTCTCAACTGGGTCAAAGTTTTCCTCGTTAATCGATGTTGTTGATTTGATTTCACTGATTTTTAAAAATTCGATTTTTTGTGTTGTAAAAATTTAATCTTTTAGGCGATGCAACAATATTTTTTTATTATAATATTTCTGGTAAAAATTTAATTTTGTAGGCGATGCAACATTATTTTTTTTACTCCGTATAAGATTGCTTATAGAGATGCTGAAGTTAATTTCCGTTGATTTTAAGAAATTAATCAATTGTAAAAAAAAAATTAGACTTTGATTTGATAGTTGAGAAGAAAGACTGCTGATTTTTTCCTTTCTGTGATGGAATTCCCCATACACCCCCAATCTACATTTTTTTCTTGCGTTGTAAAAATTTGATCTTTTAGTCTTGGATTGCTTGCTGAGAAGAAAGACAGCTGATTTTTTCCTTTCTGTGATGGAATTCCATATACCCCACCCCAATCAACATTTATAGGACCCGAAAGTCGATTCTCTGGGGTACAGTCCTATTGAAATCTAAAGCTGTTTCATGCATAAAGAAACCAAATTTATTTGTTTTTTTTTCATCTAGGGGATTTTCTCGAGTCAACAGTCCTGTCGCGTTCAGTAGTAAAAGCAATAGATCATATTACACTGAATATTCAGAGACACATTGTTGGGGTTATTGGGCGATATGATGTTTGGTTAGAAATTACTTCTCTTTTGCATAATTTAACCTTTCAATACATCTTGCAACAGGATCATGGTCTCAGCCCCGGGTCATTTTTCCATTACTAGCCGTGGCCGGACTTGGAGTTGGAATTATTCGCTCATCTCTCAAGAGAAGAGTAAGTACTGGGATCATGTTACATGTGGTTTCAGTTGTCGTGTTTCACCATTGCGAGTCATTTTTTTTATGAGGCACTTTTATTTGCACTTTGTCTGAAAGGGCTATTGTTTGTAATTCCATTAGGTCCCCGACGAGTACAGGGAGGACTTGATTAGTGGATTGCCAGACGAAGTCCTGTGTTTGATACTCTCCGAATTACCTACGAGAGATGCTGTTAGGACTAGCGTTTTGTCTAAAAGGTGGAGACACATGCATCTTTTTCTCCCCGGATTGTCATTGACTTGTCCATGCACATTTAAGAAGGATACAATAAGCCAGCAACGCACTTGCCCCCTTGATCACTACAAGCGTGGGATCTTGACATTTATAGACCGTTTCCTACAACTACGACAGTGTGTTTGCCGCCACGATCGGGACAAGCATGGAATCTTGACTTTTATGGACCGTTTCTTATGGCTACGACGGGGCTGCAATATTAAATCATTCCAGTTATCATGCTGCTTAAAGGAAGAATTCAGCAGTCATATTGAGAGATGGATGAATTATATTGCTAGGTTAAACGTTGAGGAACTTGTGCTCAGTCTTTCTTGTGACGATGCATTTGTTGGAGATATACCAAGAAGTCTGGTTACATTTCCTTTGCATTTGTTTACCTCCAATCTGGGACCAGATTCCCAAGGAACATTTGAGTCCCTTTCGCTGCTTTGGTTGGATGCAGTGTCATTAGTTAATGGTGAACTGCAAAGCATCTTTTCAGGTTGTCCAAACCTAGAGTCTTTAAAGTTGACATATTGTATACTTCCTTCTAAGTTATATATTTGCGGACCGGGACATGAGTTGAAGTCTTTGACAATCACAAGTTGTATCGGGGTAAAGAAGATAGACCTGTGTGCTGGGAACTTGACTAGCTTTGAAATCATTTGCTCTCAAAAGCTGGAAGAAATTAGGCCTTCGCATGTTCCAAAGCTGAAACATTTTTTTGTTGGGTTAAAATATTCTGGTCATTTGTCTCGTTTTATTCATCGAGTTACCAAGGACATGCCTGAACTTGAATCCTTATATATTGAATCAGTTGTTAGTGAGGTATGTGTGTGTATTGTGTTGCTATATATGTCCTTTTTCTTGCTTTCCTATTGTCTCCCCTCCCCACCCACCCCACCCTACCCCGCTATGCTCTACATACGGATGGTTTGCTAATTATAATGGTTGTTTATTACACCTACTTTTCCAGATGTATTATACCCCGCCACTAGGGCGTGGGTACAACAATCTCAAGGAACTATATGTACTGATGGACTTTAGAAGGCTATACGGTGCTCAACAAATTGCTTGTGTAATTGGCTGCGCGCCACTTGTATGGAAATTTCGTTTGGTGGTGAGTTGAGTTATTATTCTATCTTTTTGCCATTTAGTTTATTCTTTGTAACAGACCCAACGCATTGATTGTTTGTGTCTGCTAATGTGTGATGCCATCATATTGGTGTGATTGGGTCCTGTATATATTATAGTTACTTAATCTGTTACTATGTATGTTGTTGTGTATTGCAGACAAAAGGCACTGTGGACTATGGAGTACCAAGTATTGGGTTGACCCCAAAATATGGTCATTTTCATCTCAAGGAAGTGGAGATTGGCGGATTTCATGGGCACGCGAGCGAGCTTGAACTGATTAAATTTCTCCTCAGATTTGCAGAGTGTCTTGAGCGTATGACCATCAGCAAGGATTATGAGTACTACCTCGGAGGAGGGAAATGGGAGAAGAAGAAGAGCGGAGAACAAGACACTGTAGTAATGGATGAGGAGCAACGTCAAGTAGTGCGTGAACTCGTGAAGGGAACAACCCCTGCATCTCCTAATGCTCAACTCATTTTGCATTAGCCTATGTCTGCTGCCCATTTGTATTATGCACAAGCCTAACATTAAATTAATAATAATAATAATAAAAAGAACAATAATGTTTCAAATTATTATAAACACGCATATTTATATAGAGAAAAAAGTGAATTATAAGGATAACTAACAAAATGAATACTCCGTACATCGCTATTGCTCTTGCGTATTACACATTGATAATGGTATTCTAATAAATAATGTATTGTACTTCGTACAGAGTAATAGTATCATACAGAATACATTTCATATATTAGATTTTTTCCATGCACTCATTATTATAGTTATTAATTATATCAAACATCTAAAATATAAACTCATTAGTTAAAAAATTATCTTTTTAATTATTTAAAAGATTTTGTTGTGCGGATCAAGTTGGGCCTAAGCCCGCGAATATCCATGCAGGCTCGGGCTTTTATGATTAGGCCCGCTATACGGGTTGAACAGGGCTCGGGCCTAGAAATATCTCGCAATGTAGCGTCTTGCCGAAGACGAATACAATGTGACAGAGATATTATATCCTTAGTGCATTTTTCTTTCATTTCTTAACAAAAAGAAAATTGGAAAGAAGAAGACAATTTTCTGTCTTCATGGGAACCTAGCCGGAGAAATTACACCAGAAGGAAGGGTTTAGCTTCAAATTCCCAATTGAGAAGAATGGGATTTCAAATCCTGATTTTGAAATCACAATTTTTTTTAGATTTCGGGTTTTAAAATCCCGATTTTCAAAAGTAAATAATTATGGAATTTGCATGGGCAATGAAAGAACCGTAAGTCAAGTACACATATTTTATTTTTATTTTTTTTGTTTTTCTTTTTTCGAGTTTTAGAATCCTGATTATTTTAAATAATATAAATAATTACTAATTTTGCATGGGAGGTGTGTCACAAATAGTCCATTAATATAAACATTTAAAATCTAAAAAATTGAAGAAAAATTGAAGTTTTTCATAAACAAAAAATAATGAAAAAAATATTTTATTGAACAAGATACATCCAACAAAAAGACCAATAAAGTTACATTAAGTGTGATAGATGTATACATGCATCCTCCTCTAGTAGCTTTTCGATCCATCTCACCAAAGTACCGGTTACGCTTACGTCTTCCTGAACGTGGAATCTCTCCCTCCGGCCTTATTGGTGGATTGACACGAAAATCACCAATACCTAAATTGGATTGAAAAATAACTGGTTGAATCACTCCACTATAACAATGTAGATCATTTTGAACGAAATATACCGATGGGATGAGACTGTCAACAACTTGATGCTTAGAGTGGAAAACAGCATGAACATGAACACATGGGACTGCATCGGAAGACTATTGGCCACAAGTGCAAACTCTATTCTTGAGATCCACCATGTAGCTATAGATAGATGATGGATCTGTTCAAAAAGTATGACTAGTAACATATTAGTTGTTGCCATAGTCTGCAACAGCCCACTTATGTTTTGTTCGCTCACGACTTTGTAAGATGTTCGTAATTTTTGGGGTGATACGAAATGATACATACTTCCAAAGAACGAATAACCCTTTGTACGAGCAACCACAAAAACCATGCCCAACTTTCACACGTTTCCCCGTCAACCACTGCGTAAGCAATAGGAAAAATCTCCCGATTTCCATTCATCGCCACTGCCAAAAGTAAATGACTCTTGTACTTTCCATACAGGTGAATACCATCCACACAAACAAGAGGCAAACAAAATTGTAACCCTTCAATAGCAGCAGGAAATGCCCAAAACGCATACTTAAAATGCAGTGCCTCAACAAGGGAAATATTAAGGTCTTGACGTGCTGAAACATACACAACGTCAACAATTGTGCCAGGATATGACGCTTGTAAGTTGTACAACATAATTGAGAGTTGAGTGTATGAAGCCTCCCAATTACCATACAGCATTTCTACAGCACGAATCCGAGCTAACCAACATTTTTTATACGACACAAGCACTTGGAATTGCTCAGACATATCATGTTGAATTAACTTTACCTTGTATTCTGGATCGATGCACACTTTACCAACGATATAAAATAATTTATTTGTTAAATACAACTTCTGTCATTTTTTTCTACTTTATCATATTCTCACTTATTTTCACTTTTTGAAATCAATTAATTTATAAATCGATATATCAATAAGAAATAAAAATTACATATTAAAAACTACGTTAAAAGTTCTAAAAGACAAGAGGTGACAATAAACTTTTATTTTATCAAATACTTAATGGAATTACATAATTAAACTTAAGTTACCGACAAAAAAAGAAAAAAAAATTGTAATTGAAATGGGGACGGAGGGAGTATTTTGTAATTAAATAGCCAATGAAACAAAAAAAAGAGATAAGTAAAAAAATGTTTCTTCCAAAAGAAGATCTTCTTTTACTCTTTTGAATTCTTAAATCTTGTAATCTAATAGATACTCCGTAATTTTTTTTGCTATATTATCATATATAGAGAGTTGTAGAGGGAGAAGAATTAATTAAAAAGAAGCAATCCATGTATAGGAGGAGGATACATGCCGAGTAGATTTCAATTATTCAATCCACTTATCTACCACATTAAAAAAAAACCACTTCCCACCCATTGAAGTTGGAGTACCCCACCTACAAAAGTAAAGGCTGCAAAAGTAAAAAAAAAAACTTTTTCAGAAAAATTCGGATCTCAAATCCCGTTTTTTAGGCCTTTTTTTTTAAAATACTCTTTCGGAATTTTGAATCTCGTTCTTTCCTATCAGGAATTCACTGCTAGACTCGGGAATTTATTCTCAATTTTTTCCCTCCTGCATGAAACTACCCTAGCTATGCACAAACAATGATGGGGACTAGACCAAATCGAAAAAAACTGCCCCTTCCATCCAAAATGATTATATCAAAGAATATGTTAAAATGATTATATGCATGGGGTTTGATGGCCTAATGGAGTTTCATGGTTTGGTGAAACAGTATCCTTCGGAACCTATTAAATCAGCTTCAATGAGGCTCCATACAGACAAAGAAATACGCAAGATTTGGATCATCACCACACACGCAAAAGCAAACGTCTCCTTAGATCTTTGCTTAGCCGGCGCAAGTCAAAGAAAGACGAAACACTATATACATACATCAATGAATATTAACAAAAAAATACAAGACCCACATTGAACATGGATTAGAAACTCAAATCCGTTTAATTATTTTCACCACTTTGCAATGTTACCATGTATTTTTTTCTCTATTTAATATACTGCGCTTATATGTGGGTTAAGGTTTGCATACGCTTACCCTCTCCCCACATTTGGAAGCTCACTGAGTTATTTTTTTACCATTCTGCCCTCCCGTATTTGCACAAAAGCAATTCCATGTGTTATTGATAAGTTCGTTTAATGACATGAAGTAATATTTGTGGGCATATTGTGCACTTTTGTGAATCTGTTAACTAGTAGAGTTAAAAGGTTCAATGTAGGTTGTCTTCATTCTTGAACAAAGTGGGTTGAATGATGCACAGAAACTGCCAGATTAGAGAGGTAAATGAACTACAATCAGCAAAGGAAATCATTAATGTAGTGGTGAAATAAAGCTCTCTTTGAATTCATAAATTGCCAGATATGCAAAATGTAGAATGTGTTCTAAATTTGCTTTGAAGATTTCACCTTTCACCATTCATTGCAAGACAAAATTGAAGCATGAACTTGAAAAGTGTTGTGAAAAAGATACAAAAGCATACAAGATCATCATCAATGATAAAAACTACCAAGAATAGTCAGGTCCAAAAATGTTGAGAGTGTATCTGCTATCATAATTTCTTAAATGGACCAAATTCTTCAATTGTCTTGGCTGCAAGAGTAAGAACATCCACAAAAGCACTGAAGGATGCGCGAAGGAATCTAGCTTCAATAGCCTCAAAATGCCTGCCAACATAATAAAAGGATAGGAAAATAAAATAATCCCTATTTAGAATTGAGAAAAGATGCTTATCATCTGGTTTGGCAATATACAAGTGGATTAAGAAGTTACTCCTTTAAGATATTGAGTTTTACTGTAGGGAGTAAAAACAGGTACTCACACTAGGAGCTTTCCATCCGAAGCTGACATTACCCTTTTCACCTTATCAGGTTGCAACTGCAATTGAAATTAAATGAAACAGAAAATGATTTTTCCTTCAATGATTCTAAATTAATATGAAACAAACTACAATTAGTATTTAATACGGAGTAGAACCTTACCTCCTTATCAACAGAGAGAGCCGTGTAGATGATTTGGGCATTTTCTTGAGATGCAAGATTCACCTCCAAGTCACTTTGCACAACACACCAAGTCATTAACTTGGTCAAATGAAAAATCAAGAAAATCCCAAAAATAGTAAATGTGAAAAAGGAGGCAACTTTACCATTCATTCAAACAAATAAGAGAATCTGATTTTTACAATACAATTTCGATTAGGCTAGCATGTGAACATAGTTCAGAGATAGAGGTAGACTACCAGGTGAAGTCCCACTGCGACTGGGCATTCGTTGTTGTTGCCATGTCTGAACCAGAAACGTGGATTTGGAGGGAAAAGGTCGAGTTTTGACCTAGGAAGCACAGGCACAGCGAAGCTCTTCGTCAAATCAAATACAAATTACTTAATGAAGTTCATGTTTCAAAGTTTTCAAAAGAACCAAAACATAAGGACTCGGGCTACAAATCAAATTGCTTCAAATGTGCAAACTAAAATAAACCAAGACAATAAGAAAAAAAAGATGAGAATAACTAGAAACCAATCATCTTCACCACAAGTTCCCCGACATTATCAAGTAATATACACTCCACCAATTCAAGCTCATCATGGGAGAGTTCTATCATCTTGAGACACCACCCCAAGCAGGGCCGGTCCTTTGGGCTTGGGCCGAAAAAATGAAAGAAAAAAGTTACAAAATTGGAAAGCTATAAATACGGAATACCTGGAGGCTGGTGGCTTGGCGCCCAGCGGCGTCTGGACTCTGGCGGCGACGGCGTCACTCTATCGGCAGTTTTCCGATTTGGCGATTATGTTCAGGCGACGGCGTCACTCTATCGGAGTATCTCTTATTTGTCGGACTAAAGAGACGGGCCTTGACAATTGGGCTATGGGCTATATAAAAGTCTAGACCGGTCTCTGATCTTACAATGAGAACCGGCATAATTCTAGTCCATTCAGGTCCAAATCTGGATGTTTTTTTTTGGGTTAGATCGGGCTGTGTAACCTGTGTTTATTTATTTTTTTACTAGTTTCTATTTTACCCGGAGTAATACTTATTTCGAATTTTTTTCTTAGGAAATTTTCTAGAATAATCTTAATTTTATCTATTTTTCAGAAATTTAAAAAGGACGGGTACATTAATGTTGTGTATAATACGTAAAATGTTAGAACCTACCACTCCATATACATTGGTTTATTTCTTATCAATTTCAGTTTAGTTTTATTCATTACCTTATTTATTTCATTAATTTAATAATTTTATACAGATTTATTTATTTTTCTCATTTTTTTTATTTTTTATAGCTATTTTTTAATTACTCTAAGGCAAGACTAAGCTTTAAAAAAATAAAAAAAAATGGGGCTAGAAAGTCATCTTAAAAATTTAAACGAAAAATTTACGAAAAAAAATTAAAACAAATATTCATAAAAATTAATTCTTACTTTTATTTTGTTGTGTAAAACATGCATTTCCGTTTACTCACCGTTAACAACGACCAAAACTCGTAAATTTAAGTAAAGTTAGGATTATTATGCATCACAGTGAAAACTGATATTATTTTTGAAAGATCAAGTAAAGTTGAGATTATTTTGGATAAATTTTTCTTAAAAAAGATATATTTTCATTCTATAGAATTTCAAATGTAATAATGAGGATTGCACTTAAAATGAGATTAACACAATACAAAAGTTCAACACAATTTTTCATGTTCATTTTATGAAACTTAGTACATTTGTAACATTAAAGAAGTGAGCTTTTGCAACAAAGAAGTGGAAAACATAAATTAAAACTGAGGAAAATTTTATTAAGAAATTTTGAATGTGTTTCGGTCGTCAGTAAGTTTATTACTGTCCCAAATTTCGTGTACATTTCACCATAATGGACGAATATTATAAATTATTATCACGATAAGTTAATGAATTTCTAAACTGTCTGCACTTCTTTAATTAATGAAGTAGCAGCTAGTCAAGCAATGCAACTTTCGACGTTGAGCCGAGATCTCTTTGGAAACAGCCTCTCTACTTTCGAGTAGGGGTAAGAAATAATGTGCCAAACATACCACAACAACTTATTTCTATTAAAGAAATAAGTTATTTCTTTAACTTATTGTGATACCACAACAACAACAATCTAGTTAAATCTCACAAGAGTAGGGTCTGGGGAGGGTGTGTGCCAAACATACACCAAACGAGAAGGAGAATGTTCAAATCTTAAATCATGCAAATCCACATGATTTTGGCATACAACCAACTCAAAATTATGTAAGAAAATTGAGTTTTTGAATATTGTTTTCATCAGAATAACCACTCCGAAAGTCAAAATGAATTTTACACTATCAAATACTATTCGACATTAGAATATTTTGCCTAAAATGCTTCTTGCTTGTGAAAACCTTTCAAAAACTAATACTACCTCCGTTTCTCAAAACGATTCCTCTTTTGACTTTAGAGAAAAATAAGGAAGTGTTAAATTGTAGTTGACTTTCTAATTTTGCCCTTGATGTGATGGGTAAAAGTAAGATGTGATAGTTTAGTTGTTAGTGAAAAAGTATGATGTGATAGGTAGGGTATGAAAAAGTAGAGGTAAAAGTGGTTTTTAATAGAAAAGAGAAGTGTTTTAAGAAAAACAAAAAAAAAATGAAAGAGGAAGAATTTTAAGAAACGGAGGGAGTATGAATTTACTTATTTCTTTCATTGCCAATTCGCACGGCGCGGGGTTCCAATTTTTCATCATGTACAATTACACTAGTGTTAACCCCGTGCTTCGCACGGGCTCGTATACATTCTATAAATATAATTTTATTTATTTTAGCTTTCTAATAGTGACATAATATGTGTTAGATAAATATTTTTTTAACTCTAAGATATATTTTTTTCAAATAATATAATTTAAATATAGATGCATATGCACTAAACATTCTATAAGTATTTTCTTTCAAAAAAGTAAAAGAGAAATGATTTATCGTTTTTAAAAGTAATATAAATTAAACTTTGTTTTTCTAAGTATTGATAAAGCTACAAAATATTTTATATATATAATTTAATTGTGTAAGCAAAATATGTTTTAAATTGGTGCAATATATATTAGTATATTTATTTAAAACAAAAATTTTATACAAAAAAATTTACAATGATGATATATATGTTAATAAAATTGTTAAAAATGACATTTTTTATACAAAGTATAATTAAAGTAATGTTTTTAATACTAAAATATTATATTTATTGAAGGTAATACAATAAAATGTGTTAAAAGATCTTTTTAAATAATTAAATAGACTAGTGAAATTCATCCATGTCACTAATGAATGCACATATGGATGTACATGTGGCATGCCACATGTCAACACTCCAAGAAGTAAACCTTCCTTTACATATATACTAGTATTTTGACCCGTGCCACGCACGGGTTGCACGAATTTTTTTGTCGGTTTTGTGAATTATCTTCAATGTAATATCTTTAAATAAGTTTATGAAAATATATGTAATGTGCTATTTATCACTGTAGACATTAAAATGATAGTAAAATAAAAAATTTAGCATTTAATATTTGGTAAAAAAAATGCTTATATATAAATTCAAAAGTGAATACCTCAAAAACGTTTTAAATGCATATTTTTTGCCATTCTGTAATGTGGATTATTAAAATAAATTGAATTTTTTATGAAGATATCATTTGAACAGAAGATAGAATGCTTTGTGTTTACTGCATTTCTACAAATTTATAATTCTTCTCCTCGTATAAATTTAATAATATATAATTATAGATTAAAAAAATAGTAGTGGTCTTAGGACTCTTTCCCCTAAATTAATTTTAAAAAATTTGAATTACTAATCTTATAATTTTACAATTAAGAAAACATGACTAATCTCCCCTACGTCATGTAAGATTAGCGGAGAAAAATGATTGCGCCACTTTCTGCGTACATTACAAAATTTGGTTCTTCTCTTCCGCATTACTAAAAAATAAAATGTTGAATTGGCAATACTCTGACTCTATAATTAAAAATATTAATTTAGAAAATAAAATTCAATGATTCTTCCCTTGCATTAATGTAAAAAACATTAATACCAAAAAATAGTATTAGGGCTCCAATGATTTTAAAGGGAACGGGAGAATTAATATATGAGTAAAATATAGGAAAATAACTAAAATAAAACCTTCACATTCTAAAGGGAAAAGGAGGGTCAATATATAATGCCAAAACTTAAAATGAATGTCTATAGGAAGTGTTAAATTATCACAATGCAATAATACGATTTTGAGACAAAAGTATATCACAACTATAGACAGGGTTTTCAAACACTGCACTCACCGTGCCCAATAAACGATAAAATTTAAGCAAGAGTGTGGTATTAACATTTGGTTCTTGTTTAAATTCTTCTTTGGATGTTGAGACTTTTTGGGTTACACAGTTTGAGAAGTTGCTTTTTTAGGAACTGCAAATGTGAGAAAAAATTGGTATGTTAAAGGATAATAATAATAAAAATACTGGTAACAGAAAAACTAACAGTTGTAGTAGTAGTAGTAGTAGTAGTAATAATAATAATAATAATAATAATAATAATAATAATAATAATAATAATAATAATAATAATAATAATAATAGAGCTGTAAATCATGAGAGGGAAACATTAATCACAAACGTGGCTTGTTACCTGCAACTACCTTTGCTTTCTTTAGGGGAAAAACAATGGGCTCAAATTTCATTTTCTTTGAATTCTCCTTTGGCTTGAACATAAAACAAAAAACATTATACTATATGTATGTATGTATGTATATATGTGTGTGTGTGTGTGTGTGTGTGTAAACACGCAAACACTCTCGCAGAGCTAAAGCACAGTATCTGACGAGTTGCTCAAATAGAAAAAAGATTTAAATCATCGCAAATACAGAGTACGTACCTTAAAATCTTAAGAGGAAACATACACGATAACAACAAACTGCTCTATTATCTTCTTAGCCCCTCTTTTAAAAATGAATGAACATGGAACAACCAATTTCATATTTAACACCAACTCCTGGACGGAACATGCACATTTCATGACCAACATGTTAAGGATATGATAAAATAAAAACCTTAAAAAAGCATAAAACATAACTGCCCTGCATCTAGTACGAAAATAGAATCAAACCTGTCATAACCTTGAGGCCTGAATGGAAAATGTACAATTGATCTCAGTACAACTTTGACCTTTTGCAATGACTATATGAATTGTAATACCACCCGTCGTTGTTTGTCATATATTGAAGCATGGCAGGGAAAAAAGCCTGCAATAATAAATAAAAAGTTTACTCTAACGGATAAGTTTCTAACCCTATGAAATCACCCACCCGAATGGGTAAAAACGCCTCAACATCTTCAACTTTTGTGGTTGTAATCTTTAAAATGTCATCAATGTTCTTAAGAAATAAGATAAAACAACAGTACCCCCATGAAGTCCCTATGATGTGCAATGGACAGATCCACTGCTTATTTGCTATATCAAAGTTATAGCCCAATCATCATTACAACCTAGTAAAAGCTTTATCACATTACTCGCTGGTTATGCTGCATGAGGGGCTTCTGTTAACAATATTAAAAAGGCAAATCAATCAACTTCTTCAAACATATTAAAAAAATAATTTGAATACTTGCTAAAATAAGATCATTTTCATCAACAGCTCCGCCTACAAAGTATATAAAAGGTTCCCTCTAATAGGGAGCAAAGGGAGTGTCTGCAATGTTTAAGAGTAGTTGAAGGCTCATTTAGTGTAAGCCTCAAAATTCCTCTAAAAGGCATATAAACTGATCCCACAACTTTCACAAA